CCGCACTACTCGCTGGAGAGCTTTGCAGTTGTAGGCGGTGCTGTTGCCATACCAGGTGGTGATGCATCCAGTGAGGATGCTCTCAATGGCACAATGATAGAAGGTCCTGAGGATGCGGGGGCTCATGCCGAATCTTTTCAGTCTCCTGAGAAAGAAGAGGCGCTGCTGCGCCTTCTTCACTGTTTTGTTTGTGTGTACTGACCACGTAAGATCCTCAGCCAGGTGTACGCCAAGGAACCGGAAGCTGCTCACTCTCTCCACAGCAGCGCCGTTGATGGTGATGGGGGTGTGTACTTCTCTGCACCTCCGGAAGTCCACTATCAACTCCTTTGTCTTTGCGACGTTGAGGGTGAGATGGTTGTCTTGACACCAGTGGGTCAGGGCGCTGACCTCCTCCCTGTAAGCCGTCTCATCACCGTTGGTGATAAGACCCACCACTGTAGTGTCGTCCGCAAACTTCACAATGATGTTGGAGCTGTTAGTGGCTGTGCAGTCGTAGGTGTAGAGTGAGTACAGGAGAGGGCTCAGTACACACCCCTGTGGAGCACCAGTGTTCAGTGTGATGGGGGATGAGGTGATGCTGCCCAGTCTGACCCCCTGGCGTCTGTCAGACAGGAAGCTAAGGATCCAGCTGCAGAGGGAGCTGCTCAGTCCTAGATCCTGCAGTTTCCTGTCCAGCTTCGAGGGAACGATGGTATTGAATGCTGAGCTGTAATCTACAAACAGCATCCTCACATACGTGTCTCTCTTCTCCAGGTGTGACAGGGCAGTGTGTAGTGTCAGGGCTATGGCATCATCAGTGGACCTGTTGTGGCGGTATGCAAACTGTAGAGGGTCCAGTGAGTCGGGTAGTGCAGAGCAGATGAAGTCCCTGACCAGCTTCTCGAAGCATTTGCTTACGATGGGGGTCAGGGCTACAGGTCGCCAGTCATTCAATGAGGAGATGGTGGAGGATTTGGGTACAGGGACGATGGTGGCCATTTTGAAGCAGGCTGGGACTACAGACAGAGAGAGGGAAAGGTTGAAGATGTGCGTGAACACTCCAGCCAGCTGAGCCGCGCATGCCCTGAGGACGCGGCCGGGAATCCCGTCTGGACCAGTAGCTTTGCGTGCGTTCACCTTCCTGAAGCACTTCCGCACATCCTCCTCAGACACAGTGTGCGCACTGACGTCATCCGCGGTGCGCACACTGTCCGGTCTCATGGTGTTCGCTGTGTCGAATCTAGCGTAGAATATGTTTAGATCCTCACACAGAGAGGCCGTGGTCTGCGGTGTGCTGGTTTTCCCTCTAAAGTCTGTGATCGTGTTTAGTCCCTGCCACATACTCCGAGGGTTGTCAAACTGTTGTTCCACCCTGTCCCTGTACTCACGTTTGGCTGCTTTGATCGTCTTCCGGAGTTGGTAATGTGCGTGTTTGTAGTCCGATGTGTTCGCGGAGGCAAAGGCGGTGTTCCGTGCCGCCAGTGCCGCGCGAACATCTCCGTTAATAATTTCCCCCAGGGATCAATAAAGTATTCTGATTCTGATTCTGATTGATTAATCCAGGGTTTTTGATTTGGTAAGGATTTAACTGTTCTGGATGGGACGACATCTTCCACGCATTTCCTGATAAATCCACAGACTGAGTCTGTGTATTCATCAATGTCTCTGGCGGCCACGTGAAACATTTCCCAGTCCGCGTGATCAAAACAGTCCCGCAGCGCAGACTCCGATTGGTCCGTCCAACAGTGCACCGCCCTCCGGGTTGGAGCTTCCTGTTTCAGCTTCTGCCTGTAGGCGGGCAGGAGCAGGATGGAGCAGTGATCTGATTGGCCGAATGGGGCGCGGGGGAGGGCTTTGTACGCATCCCGGAAAGAGGTGTAACAGTGGTCGAGTTGCCGGTTTCCACGTGTGTTGAAAAGGATGTGTTGATGGAGTTTTGGTGAGACTTTCTTCAGGTTTCCCTTATTAAAGTCTCCGGCTGTGATAAACGCTGCCTCTGGGTGTGCGGTTTCCTCGCTGCTGATCGCGCTGTACAGTTCCCTGAGTGCACGGTCAGTGTCGGCTTGTGGGGGAATGTAAACAGCCGTAATAATCACTGCTGTAAATTCCCTCGGTAGCCAGAATGGCCGGCACTTAATCATCAGGTACTCCAGGTCCGGTGAGCAGAAGGATTTGACCGGGTGCACGTTCGCATAATCACACCAGCTGTTGTTGATCATGAAACACACACCACCGCCTCTGCTTTTCCCAGTAAGATCCTGTGACCTGTCCGCGCGGTGCACAGAGAACCCCGGTAGTTGTATTGTGGAGTCCGGTACTTTGTCCGATAGCCAGGTTTCTGTGAGGCAGATCACGCAGCAGTCCCGCATCTCTCGCTGGAATGAGATCCGTGCCCGAAGCTCGCACAGCTTGTTCTCCAGAGACTGCATATTAGCCAGTAATAAACTGGGTAACGGTGGTCTGTAAGTGCGCCGTCTCAGTCGAACCAGAACGCCAGATCTTCTCCCTCTGCCTCGGCGTTTGCGGCCTCCAGGGCCAGAGAACAAAGGCGTCTCAGGTGAGATGAATGGGGGGTCTGCAAACGGAGCGTCCGTGTTGCAAAACTTGAACTCCGGAAAGTTATAAGAAAGACCGTCTTTTATGTCCAGTAAGGTTTGTCGGTCGTACACAAGGAGACAAGTGCTGCTCGTGAAAAAATAAAGGAAAAGTAAAATTAAACACAGAAGAAAGCCGTTGCTTGGGGGAGCTCGCGACGAGGCTGCCATACTCGGCGCCATCTTGAAGCAGTAAATGAAAATGATCAAATTATGTCAAATTATAATGAAACAAGGTCTTCAACTTTACAAAAAAAGAATACAAGTAAAGAAATATATAGATATATCTATATATATCTGAATATTATTGGAGTGAACACATGTCGATCCTGAGATTAGGCCTTACTTGTGCTTGCTTTTTCCTCCCTTCTCATCTTTGAAACTCTCACAATAACAAACTGGAATCATGTGTTGTATATTCATGTGTTTACATATTTCTTACATGCCAAACAACTCAGGCTAAAGAAAATGTAGGTTATGATGTGGTAAGAGCAATAACATGCCAGCGTATTAAAAATATGTTCTTTTTTGGTAAATCTCAAAGTAATAGCAAGCATTCTAGGGCATATCTAGAATACATACTGATTTTCCCATGAATCTCTTCATTATATATTATCATAGCGCCAGTTTTATGTTTATTCACCCCTCTGACATGCGCTGCCATCAGTGCTCATGCTCAAACTCTATGACAGATTATCTTCGATATATTGAAAGATTAATTGTGCATCTTTCTGGCAATGTCAGAGGTCACATCAGTGCATTATGTGGTTATATTTAATCCATGTCAGAGATGTACACATTTCTCTTGAAATCTGTGTGAGGAGGTCACACTGTGTATTTGCTAAAGGAACATTTGCTTTAGTGCAAAGTATGCCAGGAATCTGGTCTCAACCATTCAAATGGTGCTGCAGCCAGTAAATTCTGAGTTGGAAATGCTTAACCTTGTAAAGCGATGTCGTTTCAAATGAGAGCTTACAGAAAGAGAGTCGTACAGTAAAGAAAAAGGACATGAAGAAAAGAACAGATCAGTGCTGCTATTCAAATATGTACATTTTTCAGCTAAAAGAAAAGTATGGTTTGTAAAAGCCTCACATTTATGAGCCATAGCAACAATAATCACATCTATTAATGGCATCAGTACACTGTTGGAGGCTGACATGCACACTGGGGTGTGTCCGTGTATACAGGTTCACGCCTGGATTTCTGCCCGCATTTTCAGAAACGCTTTATACTACGTTTTCTCTCTTTTTTTAAAAACCCCACTGCTGTGCTAAACTGCTGTGTGTGAACAGCAAGTGAAGAGTGCCAAACAGACGGGAGAGATATTTTACATATTAGAACAATACATTAAAAACATACATAAATGGACCATATAGTGGAAAACCAGGTCTAAGGTAAATGAGTAAAGATCCAAGTGTTAATGGTGTTTTAGCTGTTCAGCAGATATCCATCCACTTGTGTTAAACACCTAGGGCCTGATCAATAAATTTGTAGTGTAAGTCAACGTGTGCATGTTACTTTATACTGGTTGTTGTTCTCCATCCTCCACAATACTACTGAATTATAGAGGAAGGATAACATTCTCTGTTGCCTGGCAGAGATGTCATTGGCCAGTGGTGATGTCAAAGAGAGATAATAGCACATCTAGGCCTATGAAGCAAATCATCCAAACCTAAGAGACACTAAAGTGATGCGGTACTGCTTGGAAAATGTGCCTTAAATATTTCAGTAGGATAATTAAGGCAATATAAGGAATCTGAGCACAAAGATGGGCAGACAACAGTTTGCATAACCAAAAACAGTTCATCAACTCTCAGCTAAAAAGCAATGATCCATTTTAAATTGTATCTATACCTTAAAGGAAGTATAAGGAAGGAAGTGTAGAAAGAGAGCAGCATTGCTAGCCAAAAAGAAAGATGTTCTCCCAACACCTATGAGCTGTTCTGATAACTTACGACAGCGGTCCCCAACCTTTTTTGCACCACAGATCGGTTTATGTCCAACAATACTTTCACGGACCAGCCTTTACGGTGACACGGATGAATACAACTTAATAAAACCAGTACCGGTACCCAAAACAAAATGGAGATTTATTCATAACACACAGAAAAAGACCCAGGGAAACAGAGTCAATGATAAAAAGGATGAAAAAATAACGCTAAAACTCCTGAAAACCATGAATTTCACACCCGAGCCTCAAGTCTCCCACCCCGGTACCGGTCCATGGTCCAGGGACCGCTGACTTACGACACACTGTTCCTGTTCAAGTATATAATGAGTAACAAGTGAGGAGGAGAGTGTGTGTATCCCTATGAAGGTGAAAGTTTTAATATGTCCCGAGTTTGTAGTTGTAGTCACATGCTTATATATGCATTTGCACTCATAGTCATAATCAGTCAACTGGGAGTCCATATACTGCCTTACCTTTCTTTAAGGAAGTCTACCACTCGTTTGAAGTCGTCAATGCAATATTCTCTCTTCATATCCATCAGTACGCTATCAGAGGCTGACTGCACGGGAACGTGGAGGAAGGCATAGACGCGTGGATGATTCAAAATCTTGGCCATCTCCTAATGACACAAATGGGAAAACATTAAGGAGGTAACATTATTATAACATGCTGATTTTTGAATGTTTCATTTGTAAGTGTGACTCTATTAGTGATTGTGGATATGCTATAACACAGCAGTGGATTTCTAACAAGTTGGGATACACACAGAACAGGTCACCATTCTCTCACAGCGCTAACAAAGAAAGCGAGCTCACGTCCACACCTCCGCATCGCCAATTAACCCATCATGCAGCTACACGAACATACAAACTTCACAGAACATAATGTCCATTAATTATTGATTTCATGACACAGATCAACACCTTAAAAACTAAAACGTGCAAAAGGAGAAAAACAGGAAATGTGAAGGCTCACTGAAGCTTCTGGTGAATGATAGCCGCTGGCTTTGAATAAAATAAAAGTGCCATTAACATTCCTGTCTCTTCCTGCACTCTTTTCACTCCTGCACTCCTTTCAGAGCTTCTACAATACACAGCTTACATCCTATATTTATTTATTTTTTTTGTATTTTTCCTTTTCATATCGGAAATTTAAAGTCCTAAGAGTCAAGGTTGCTCCAGTAGGGCTTCTTTATGTCTGGAAAGTCAAGAGCTTTTACTGAAGAATGGAGGTCCTATTTTCAGATCAAAGCAGATTCAGAAGATTCTTCATTTGATTTTATTTCAATAAAAACCCTCTATCCGACAAATCAAAAGAATATTTCAGCCAATACACAAGGCTAAGTCCACAATCTTATATGAGAAATGGTGGGGGAAAAAATTTAATTGGGGGGAAAACACCCAAAAGAGTACTTTGGGTGTCAAATAATTTTGCTAAGCTAAATTAAAACCATTGTTTCTGTGCACAAACATGTATTTACATGAATTTGAAAAACTGAATTCACCAGGAGCAACACTCAAGTATAACATGCACCCCAACTCTAATACTTTTAAGAACACTGCAGTTAAATGCACTACAGTAATTAGGGGACTTTGCAAGGTTTTTTTTCTTCTTTTCTTCTCACTTTTAATTTCCTCAGTAATAGAACTGGAGAGAACACAGATGTCAGATTTTTCTGATGGACATAATCAGGATGCTATCATCACCATGCTAATCACCATAAGAAGGCGAAAAAGAAAAGGAGAGGGGAGGAAGAAATGATTTAATGATTTCCTACAAGAACGTACTGATTGCAGTCCGTCTTCTCAATTAAGATCTATTGTAGAATGTGCTCGCCTTCTTACGCAGACATTAAAGCATATGTGTGCATGAACACACATGGGCACAGCTCAGTATCAGCGCCACGGGGGGTTGACCGCTGCAAGCTCCAAATTAGAAAGAATTAATTTGGTTGGAAAATGGAGCTTGATTGGTGACAGAAATCAGGCTACTGCATGTATCTGTAAGTGGGTGAGTTAGTGTGTAAAAGAAAAACCATGAAAAAGAACATGCATTTATGTGTTTTTAAATGTATTATGAACCAGAGTAAATAGCAGAGTGATGGATTCATAGTGCCTCTATTTCTAAGTGTAGATGCTTTATTGTGTATACTTCAAATTTCTGCTGTGAAGCTATTTTAGAGTCCACAACCATCAATGGCACCAGAAGAAAGAAGCAAAAACTACATGCAAAGCCTAAAAAAAGGGATATTCCACATAAAATGTGATGAATTAATTTTGTACTACAATAATAAAATATACTTCAAATGGTAAGGTTCTGTTGTTGTAATAGATTTTAAATACTAATGTAGACGTACTACTATTGCAACAATGTATCTACATGGAAAACGTGGGCCTTTCTAAAGTGTAACCTTTTACCTCTGACTGTCTCTTCTATTATTAAGTTACAATCCTCTAATGTGGTTTTCCTGGCAAGTAGAAGTGACCTATAAGATCTAATGATGGCTAGCAGGGAGAGGGTATTTATTAATGCACACTTGTGTGCTTTGAAGAAATATATGTGTAGTAATGAGTTTCTTTTGAATCAGAATAAAAAAAAACTTTAATAACCACTAAGGAAATTAGCAATTATTAAAGGGTTATAGCTGCTCCAAGACAATAACGGTAACAGACTGAACTACTTAAATAATACAATATATTACAAAGTTTGCAAAATATATACAAATAACTAACCTGTAAAACCTTGTCATTTGTTATTTTACTGTAGAGCATGTGTAAAAGGGTGTAGCTACTGCAGTGTGTACTGTGCATTAGATGGAGGAGCTGTAAAGGGAGATGATGAGATGAAAAGTCGCACTACATTCAGTCTTCATGCCTACTATCTATCCCGGAGCTTCCCCTAAATTAACAGTATTGCCAATTACCAAAATCACTCTTTATGTCTCTGTAATGATTAGTTCACCAGTATGTAAAACACTTAAATCAAAATTATATGTTTTAATGTTGAAATATAATTATTGTTTCTATGCACGAATTTTCAAATTTGCTGTTCTACAAAAAGTAGTTGGAAAAAAATGTTAAGAACATTATTATTTTTGGATTAAGATGCCAAATTATTCTTATTTAATTGCATTCCTGAACAGGAAAACAGTTGTTTTAATGGCTGAGCGTTATGCTTGATTAATTTCTGACTTTTCAGAGGAATCTAGGATGTCGGCTGAAATGCGGGTATGAAAATGTGAATTTGGCTCGTGTTTTTATCACAGCTAGTTAAGTACATTTGTTAAGAGTATGCGTATATGTATGTAGCTGGGTGTCAACACAGTTTCAGGAGACTTCCCTCACATGGATCATTTGTCATGCACTTGACTGTATAATAGAGATCTGCAAATGATGTTGCAAATCCCAGAAGACTTGAGGATCTTTAATATTTCACAGCTACCAATACTAAATGTCAAAGTGTAAATGATGCTGTGTAAAAAATGGTTTTTAAAAAACAATATGATATTCAATAACTACGTGCTGCCTTGATATTGATCATCTTTAGAGTTGTGATAGTTTTCAGATCAAAGCAAAGCTTTGTTTTCTTTATGCAGGAATATTGCAGTTCAAGTCTGTACTGAAGTTTTTATACCTCACTCCCTGTAGAAGTGACACACTCCTAATTTGCATGTTGGCTTCATTTGTCGACACACCATTTCAACGTGGCTTTAATTGCTTCTACCATGGCGATGATGTTGTCTTCCAAAAGGTTTGCTTTTCTCTTAATATTCCCGACTACACCCTCATTTATCCTGGTGTCATGTGAGGGTAAAAAGGATGTGCCATTAACTTTAGTTTGAGATTTATCAATCACATATGCTCAAGTTACAATCTGGGATCCTTCAAATGTGCCCAAGCAAGGTTTTATGATCAGTCAACTGTAAGCTTTTTTGTGTATTTATATATTTATAAATCAGCCTTGACCAATACCGTTTTTGTTCTTTAACCCAACAGGTCTTCATCTGCAAAAAAACAGTCTTTTCATCTCTGGTTGATCAGCGCAAATAGACACACGAACACAGAAAATATCGAGTTAAGCGAATTAGCTCAAAGGATCTGATATCGCCCCCCCTCAAATCAGATCTCACTTAAAAGAAAAGAAAACATATGTGGGGGGAGAGGTGATGAAAGTCGATTTAGCTCCAAGCAGCCTCAGCACGTGACTACAGACGTTTCACAACAATTTCCCAGAAAATATGCTTACTCTAAACTTTGTGCTTTTCCGTTTCTTTTGTTTGTGTATCTTTTTCCTCATCCTTTTCATCATTCACTCTCCCTTCTTTTTTGTGTTTGGCGCTTAAAACACGTGATAGTCATGTTTTGAATACTGCAGGTTTCAAAAATGAATGTTTCTTACTTTCTCTCTAAGCAGGCTGCTGAAAGTCAGGGTCAACTTTGAATCAAGTCATCTCTGTATAGCTTGTGACTGCAAATATGTTATTAATCAAGCACATCGCACAAAAATGAAATAAATTCTAAACTCTGCAACCCAAAAGAAATCGACCTTAACTTTCCAAGTGAAATTCGGTTGAATTTAAACATTTGAGAAAAACATACATGGTCAAACGGGCCAAAGGGGATCAGTTCAATGTAATTTGGTCTCCTCGGGGCAGCGGGATGTTGTATGCGTTATTCATTGCACAGCTTAGAGGAGACACAAAGAGTCAGATGTGTTTAACCGTGAGTGTTTTTTAGGGAGCACTAACTGAACGCGTCCTACACATATTCAAAAATGAGAGCTTACTTATTCACTAATAGCAACATTATGTTTGACACTTCGGAAAATAACAGTAACACTTTAAGACTCACTCAAACACAGTTCAAACTACACAAAAAATTCTCAATGTTGTTGTTCAGAAATAAAGAAGCACCGACTCACAAGCATAAAGCCAGAAGAAAAATGAAAAATGGCCAATGAAGAGACAAAATCTTCTACAGTTATCTTTGCAGCAAAAAGGTTCAAGTAATAAATGTGAAAAAATACATGCTTTACTTGTTATTTGTGCCGTCTTATCATTTGAAATTGGACAGAATCCTTTAAAACTCAAAGCTTTGAAAGATGAAATCAATTCATACATTCAGATTACCTGGACCTCTAAAAACACATATCTTTTAATATCATGTATCACCCAGTGAAGTCTGTAGAGAAATCTTTTCCCAGTACAAGTCAGTATTTGTGTGTACATGACCAAGCACAACCACACTTCAGAAAGTGAAATAGACATTTTAAACACTTCAAGCTGTGCTTGATTTTCCTTGGCATCTATACCAAGCTTACTGCACACCTCTTAGAATGAAATGCATTGCACGGTTAAAGGTGAATTGGGTGTATGTGTAGAATTTGTCATGTGCAAGTGTTTTCTGTGACTGTGACAAACTTTGTTTTTAAGGGGACATGCACAACAAGTCACTCAAAAATACAACTAAACTACAGTCTAAAGGCGCAACAGAGGGGCGATCGTGGCTCACGGTTTGGGAGTTCGTCTTGTAATCGGAAGGTTGCCGGTTCGAGCCCCGGCTCGGACAGTCTCGGTCGTTGTGTCCTTGGGCAAGACACGTCACCTACCCCCTACTGGTG